AATGTATACTTCATCACAATTACATCGGTATCATTATATATTGTGGCTGATAATACAACATCTTATTTATTTATGCGATATGATCGATGGTAAACAAGCTCGACGAAATACTACACAATCTCTAGCTCGTCATTATTATGATCATTGTTTTGATATAATGAATATAACAATATCTGCTGTAATTACCTTAAAACTTTATCCATTATACATGAAGTACAGGTTACCACCGGTAATAATATTAATTAGTCAAACTTTAAGTTTTTACATGACATTTGCCGCGTACTACTGCACTGGAATACTTGTGGAACCATATACGATGCATGCATGGAGATATGTATATGTTCTGTTTTTATCTCTATCTGTGGCTATACATGATGTCAGTATATTACATAACGAAGATTATCAAATCATATTGGGAACATTATCAGCAGCACTAACGATAGGTTGTATTTTAATTTTCATAGACAATATGTATTTAATTACAAGATCACCGATATTTTCGATTAAATTAATTGTATTGATATTCATACCTCCACTAGCCTCAATCAGCATTTATATAATCGTTGCACACTATTATTATGTCAATGACTATTTGCCACATATTGCATTTTACCATTGTTTACTGTCAATAGTTATGGGTAGTTATGTATTTGATATTCATTATACACAACTAAATAATCAATCTCTATCACTGCTACACGCGCATTTATTTGTACAGATTTTATCTATAATAACATTATTCATTCATAATTATAGTATTAATCTCATATTGGTAATCGCACTTATCTTTATTATTCTAGTGATCGACCTTATTAAAATTATTTTGAGACTCAGAATATTTATTAATATGTATCCTGAGATTGAATTTCCCATATTCTTTACGTCCGATAAAAAAATGGAATACAATAAAAATATCACGAATAATACCAATTAAAACCTTCATTGAAAACTCAATTTTTCGAAACTTTTCAAACTTGTAATATATTTCAAAAGACATTTTCGTGCTAGCAAGGGATCAGTTCGTTGCGGACTTGTAACTGATAACAGTAAATCGGCGGCCCTGTGTAGTCGGATAGAGATAGCGTTTTTTCGTAACGATCGGTCTAAATGTTTATTGGTTTTTGCATGTTCTTTTTTTTGAAAAATTAAATATTAATGTGATCTGTTTGATATGTATTAAAAAGGTTGTAGAAAAAATATCGCAAATATCAATATTAATACCGTGTATCAGAACAGCAAAAGTTTTACTTTATTCAACAAGGAGATACATAGATACTTTGATGATGAGTATTAACTATTTAAAAAGATGTATTAAGTTCATAGGTCCGGTGTTAACATTTGGTTCACCTTCTCTTCGTGACCATCAGTAATAAACCATCTAATAACTTTTCAACACCGATTTCGTTATTGTTGTATCGTTCATTGAGAGTATCAATTCGTTTTTAAATCGCATCAGCTGAAATTGATTTAGGTCGCCTTTGAGCATTTGCATTGATTGGATGTATAGAGATTGAAATTGACTTTCTTTACTTACAACACATTTAATAAATAATCATCAGAAATATTGAATATAGCTGAAGTACAAAGAAAAAGTGATAATTCACAACGTACTTGGTTCAAAGCTTATTCTAGAAAAAAAACATGTTAAGAGAGATACCAAGTTTATAAAAATATAAGTCTACGTACATCAAGAGTCAGTGGTAAATTTGCAAGAACTACTGGCGAAAATTGAGCTTGAACAATTTCTTCATCGTACATTTTCGAGATGGGTGCTGTTTCGTTCACGATGCAATGTTTGACTTGACAATCTTCTAGTCAAAGAGGATGATTGTATTCACCACTTGAGTTCAAAAAATTATATTTGAAATCAGTTTGGATAAGTGTTTTAGAGTTCTTGTTTTTACCAATGTAATATATTTGGAGAATGTTTGTTTGTTCGCTTTGTAAATAAAAATATCTTGCAGCAGTACATGATAACTATTGTTGGAAACAAGAAAAGATATTGTACTTGTAGTAACAGATATGCTACAATCAAAGAAACAAGTGATAAAATGTAGAAAAATGTTGTTTAATATCTAAAATCAAGCGGAATATATAGAAAAGTACAAAACGATGTCACGATTATGTTTTTTGCTCGCATACAATGTCTTTCATTTCGTTTTTCTAGAATATTGATTTGTACAATGATGTAATAGAGAACAGTATTAACTAATTGATGGAGCTTTAAGAAACAATATAAGAAAGAAAGAAATCAAAGTTGTTTCATGACTAAATCACGAAATTTTCGATATTTTTCTCTTCAATATGTATCGAATAATCGTTTAACATTGTAGCTTTTGTATTTCTTACGATTTATAGCATATATTTTTGAAGGCATAAGAAATAACTAGGCGAGTATGCCGTGAATGGTAGATTAAGTGTACAATTAATAAACGGTGTCGATGTCTGAAGTCTAATTAACCAAAGCATAAAATTAGTATAGACTTGGTACTGCTATGAAGTTTTCTGTTCACCAATACATGCCTACAAAGAAAAACAGATGAAAATAAAAATGAAAAGTGCTATAGCCGTGAATTGGTGCTTTTATTTCATAACTCATGTTGATGGGCGTTTAATAAGTCCTTTTCTAGCCATTAAGCCTGCGAGTCTTATTTACTAAGTAGCTCCAACACATAGACATTTCCTTTGAATTGGAAAAAGCTCCAACAACATTTAATAAATTTGTAGAAGTCACACGACACTAGATACAGGTGTTTTTTCGAACATATTCTCTTTTTATGAATCATCAGTTGTATGGCGAGCGCATATGTCAGTAAAATCGACCCTGTTTGAAAATTATAAGAAAACCTGCACTAATTATATGTGTTAAGAAAGATAATTAACTCCAATATCTAGTTGTATAATATTTTTCACTAGGATGCCATATTTTGTACAGATTCAACAATATATATGGTAAGAGATATATCAGGCATAATATGTAAAACAACTAAAAGGTGTAATCTACGACAAAATCAACTGAAGTAGCTACCGTAACATATCAGTGAATGTAGCAGAAAACGCTTAACAAAACTATATAAAAATATATATATAGCATATAACAAAGTAAATCTTTAATAAATAATCTGAAGGGTATGAGCGTGAAGAGAAGAAAGACATCTATACTTACACTCTAAATAATTAGATTATAAGTTTTAACCCTATCTTCTTGATATTTCTTATTTATTAGAAGATTTAGCTGTAAGAAAAATATTACTTTTTAGTAAATTTGCACAAAATTACAATTTTAAGACACTCACCGCACATATAGTGAATAAACAATATAGTTCACAACATTCACTGAGCTAGCTTGTTGACACTTTTCAGAATTTTATGTTTGTAACGATAAAGGACTTGTTTTTTCTAAGCTCATCGTTTGAATAAGCATAAACAATAGCACAAGTCAATAAGCATTGAAATGTATATACACGTGGCTTGTTGACTGAATCTATTATTCGAACGCTTATCATTCAAGCGTATATTACTATAATTAGAAAAACTAAAAACTGTATCAGCACATGGTTTTTTCTTGTAAATTCTCTAACTTGCTGTATCGCATTATTATCTTTGAAATTTTCCTTAAAACAACTAAAACTTAAGTTAAAAAACGTAGATATATACGTTAAAGCCCCAAGAGGCTAGACAAACACCTTTAAATAATTCTACATGCATGCCAATGAGCATCTTTCATGCTTTTGTGCTTATTAAAAATGTAAATGTTTCTATACCAAAAATTATCGAAAAAAAAGGTTTGAGGAGAGTACTTTGACAAGGTGGTACATAGGCTACAGATGTCCTTTAGTATTGTGATCGTAAAGACTCCCATGTACGGGAACATTATGCTGATTCAACAAATTGTTGAGGAAGAAACGTGTTAAGAACTTTTACAAAATAGTTGTTTCAAGCTTTAATGAAAACAAATCTTCGAGATTTGTACTTTAGTGTAGACGGGTTATCAACGCCTTGAAAATTGATTCATTATAGTATGAATGAATACAAATTTTCAAAATGCTCTAATGTACTATGTTCATATATTCAAATGTTAATTCTTATGAAGATTTCGAAATTCAAAATAATCTACGACTCGTTCATTGAAATATAATAGTCTTTAATTTTGTCGCAGTTCTGGATAATCATGACGTTGATTTTTAAGACATTTTATTTCAGATCATTTTTATGATTTCATTTTTAGCTCAAGCCAATATACAGTAGTTTTATGTCTGATATGTTTTCTAGGAATAACTATACTTCAGAATCAATATAAAGACTATTCAAAATATAAATTATCTTAGTTGTAAACAAACAGAAAAAATCATGAAAAATCACTTTCAATTATGAAAAATCAATTAAAATTACTTCACACCATGACATGAAGAAAAAGAAAACATTAGTGTTTCCCTTAATAAAGGCTCACGTGCGTAATTAATCATTTTTTTTCAATAAAAGACAAAGCACAATGTATCCATCGGTTATATTCAAAATCGATAGTGACAGATAAAAAATTAGATATCGATATCTTACTCGTAGCAGAATAGATCTTAAAGATACATTTTATTAGAGTAATGCTTCAGTTTATGTACAGTCATTATTAAGTAGATGTCACTAACACTCGATCGAGATCTCTTTTCTTATTCTTTAACTAAATCATCCAGTCTCTTGACGATAGATATCATTGTCAGATACTTATTCGAGTTATCAAATTTGGATTTATGTGAATGTCTTTTTTTTTTTGTAAATAAGAACTTCATAAATGTATTTATTTATTTTAATTCTTTTGTCGCTACAATCTATTTGGAAATTATATTGATATTAGCGCTGCTTATCTAAATACCATATAACTTTCATCTTTCATATTTAAAAAATGAACAAAAAATGAGATGAGATTCTCTTACTTTCATAACAACAGCATTTTAGATCAATTTCCGCTCGTTATTTCTTATTCGGAAAACTGATCTTGATCAATAATGGCCGAATATCTTGCTTCTATTTTTGGTACTGAAAAAGACAAGTAAATACTTTAATCATTCTTTCAATTTTATTTTAATCATATGTATTATCTATTGTTTTTTTAGAGTAAATTGTTCATTTTATTTTAAAATTGGTGCTTGTCGTCATGGTGAACGGTACGAACTTTATATATATATATATACTGATGTCTAAATGCTTCTTTCTTTGTTTATAGATGTTCTCGTGTTCATAATAAACCTACTTTCAGTCAAGTATGATAAACAACTTTTTTTCAAAAAAAAAAAAAAAAAAACAGGATTCATTTTTTTATTTATAGACAATTCTTCTAAAAAATCTTTATTTAAATCCAAATAATAACTCTATTCCTAAACCAGAAGGTGGTTTTGGTAAGTCAATAGTCAATTTATTTTTTAGGATGTTTATTATTGATTTTTACTAGAACAATTTAGTGGGAATACTTATACAGACGAAGAAGTACAACAACATTTTGAGTAAGTATCTTTATTAATAACTTTAGATTGAACAGAAAAAAAACTGATTGTTTTCTGGTATTGATAAAAGGCATAGAAATTATAATTATTCACAAATAAACAAGTCATTCTATTGTTTACACATCTTCTCTGTATAACACTTTATATATTTCCATTTTAATTCGAAGTGAAAACTTCGAAGAAAATTTTTGAATCGTTATTAAACGTATTTATTCATCACTTGCATTTCTAAACATTTTAATATCGACAAATAAACTTGAATAACATTACCATTTCATATATTGCCTTATTGCACTCGAGATATTCTTTTTTTTTTCGACAGAAAATTCAGACTAAACTTTTTCTTGCTCTGCGTAATATTACACTACAATAAAAATCTATAAATACCTTAGTGAACTGTTCGAAACTATAGAACAAACAGAGATATGCCGATATAACTTCAAGTTGTACTGGTGTGCTTAACTATACAAACTCATGTACATGTATCGAAGTGCATTTCTTAGAACAAAAAATATTCTAGGCAATAAGCCATAAGCGTAGTTTATTTATCGTGAGACTAAGAGTAAATCTGTGCAAAGAACTGAGAAGAAAACCAAATATTAAATCATACAAATTTTACTGTAATTTCATTAGGTAGAGAACTGCCTATGTGATTATTTAGAAAAGTTTTGTAAATTTCATCATTTGATAAAAATGTACTTCTCTTATATATACCTATGTAATTTCGTTCGATCTAAAGAAATTCCATTTTTATACATATATAATTTCATACCTATGTTTATATTTTAGTGAATTTTATGAAGAAGTTTATACAGAAGTTGAAGATAAGGTAAGTTCGATGTTTGTTTAGTACTTATTAAATAAAGATTTCAAGTTTCCCTTCATCCTATTGTTGAATGTTTATCAAAATCTAGAGGATGCGAAAAAACGCGAAATTTTCTTATTCTTTCCTTTGTTTGTTATCACCGATCTGCCTAAGCTTCTATCCATTATTGCAGGCTTGATTTGTGAAAATCAGACATCAACGACACTTGCATCTCAAATTATCACGTACAATATTAATTAATATTTTTCTAAAATTTTTCTAGTCCCATTTTTGCAGGAGGATCTCTACATTTCTTTTCTATTATAACAAAATGCTCTTCATATGTATAAAGATATAAAAGGTAGAATGATAAATATGAAAACAAAAAATTCTCTGTGTTTACAGGTTTTTTTAGGAAAAACGTTTGTATTTTTTTGATCATCCCTATTTTATTTCTTCTCTTATATCGTGAATACGATTTGTATATAACTGATTTAGTATGGTGAAATTGAAGCAATGACTGTTTGTGACAATCTTGGCGAACATCTTGTAGGAAATATTTATATTAAAGTAAAGAACTTTAAAAAAAAGAAATTATTAATTTTGATTATTTTTAATATGAATAATATGATTGTTTAGTTTCGTTATGAACGAGATGCTGAACGAGCTGTAGAAGATCTTAATACACGATGGTTTGATAGAAAACCAATCTACGCAGAATTAAGGTAAATATTATTTTATTGAATTCTTGTTTTGTATATTATAATATTATTGTTTTAGTCCTGTCACAGATTTTAAAGAAGCTAGTTGTCGCCAGTATGAATTAGGCGAAGTAGGTCTTTTTATTTTTCTTTATATGTAGAGAAGAAAATTTTTTGTTGCTATTTATTTTTAATAGTGTATGAGAAGTGGTTTTTGTAACTTTATGCACATTAAAACAATATCACAAGATGTTAAAAAACGTCTTCGTGGACGTCGAAAAAGGTTTGTTGTGATTTTTTTAATTCCTATAAAACCAATAAATTGATTAATAATGTTTCTTTAGATCACGTTCACATAGCCATTCACCATCAAGAAAAAATCGTCGTCATTGAACTAAAGAAGAACAAGAGATAGTCTTAGCTCTTCATTATCTTGAGTTAATTTTTTTTTGTTTTGTATATAAAATAAAATTAAACAAGAATATAAGATCATATGTCAAGTGTCTTTTTTTTTAATAATTCTGGTTTTTTTTCTAGATAAATCATGTCCAGTCAAAGTAGTGTTGATGTTCATCAAATTGCTACTCAAAAAGATTTCGATGAATATATAAATTCATCGTCTATCATTAATAAATTATTACTTGTTCATGTTGAATTAGAACAAATACCAGTTTGTAAAACAGTCAATGAAGCTTTATTAGCAATAAGTCGTAATGAAGAATTTAATCAACAATTGATAGTATGTCGTTTAAATGCTGATCATTTTTCTGATTTTCTTACATTACAAAATGTTAATGCAGCACCAACTGTACTTTTCTATCATCATACAAAATTAATTGATCGTGTTGATGGTTTTAATCAAAGTGATTTATTAAAAAAAATTCAGTATCATATCAGTAAAATTGATTCTATACCAACTATAGTCGAAACAAAATCTAATACTGATATAAATGTTGAAAATAAAATAAAAAACTTATTAAAATCATCACAAGTTATTTTATTTATGAAAGGTATACCAACAGATCCTCAATGTGGTTTTAGTCGACAAGCATGTCATATACTTGATGAATATAAAATAAAATATGATTATTTTGATGTACTTTCTGATCAAAATTTACGTGAACAATTAAAAATCTATTCAAATTGGAATACATATCCACAATTATATGCTGATGGTGAATTAATTGGTGGTTTAGATATAATGAAACAAATGATTGAAAATGGTGAATTTCAGTTAAAATTTAAGCAATCAAAAATAAATGATAATGATAAAGATATGAAAAAATACTTAGAAAGTTTAATTCATCAAGCACCATTAATGCTTTTTATCGTAGGTACACCTGAAAAACCAAAATGTGGATTTACAAAAGAATTAATTAATCTATTAAATCAAGCTAATATAAAAAATTATAAAACATTTGATGTATTACAAGATGAAAATGTTCTACAAAAACTTAAAGAATATTCATCATGGCAAACTTATCCACAAATATATGTCAATGGACAATTTATTGGTGGTTTGGATATTCTTAAACAAATGAATGAAGAAGGAACATTAGTACAAACATTAACTGGAAATCAAGGAGTAGCTGTTTGAATAACGCTTCTTTTTTTTTCATAAATAATAAAACATGCTTCTATTAAAACATAAAAGCATTTGATATGTGTTTCTATTTTATTTTATTTCAGATCAAATCGATTTAAAAAATAAATGTGCGATATTTGATAACAAATCAAATACAATATTATAACAATAGTTAGTCATAGCATTATATAAGTAGAGTAGACTTTGGTGATGTGTCAAAATTCTTTTTTTATATTATGGCATCAAAAATGAAAAAGAGTTCGATTTTAGTTTATTAGTTTGTTATATCAAAGAAGACAGTCAGAATTTCGCCATTAACAATATTTTCAGGGTATGTGCTAGGGAAAATAGGATGAAACTTTTGCAAGTTATCACAAAATAGTACTAATATATGATATATGCACAACTTGAAGCTAATATAATTAGATATATATATGTTGTAGCTTATACTCATAAATATATGATAGAAACTTTTTTTAAAATCCATATCTAATTCACAGTGAAATTAGCGAAATTTTGAAACTCCATACCAACTAGACATAACTGATATTGGTGTGATAAATATTCACCAAATATTAGTTATGTTTATTTGAGTTTGGTTACGAAAAGAACTTTTAATATAGAAATCAAGGCATTTTGCTAAAAGTCTTTTCTCGTACAAGAATACATACTTGATATTTCTTTTCTGGTTTATTGTATTAGAAATTGATTTAGAATAAGTCTGTGAAGAGTTAATATTCTATGAAAATATGGACAGCGCCATTTCGAATTTTTAGGAAAATCAATCAAATTTTAATTAGCTCTATTTTTCTTCGCATTCTCTTATACTGGGCAGTACAGCAGTTAGGGATACATCAATCTTACGTATAGCTTTGCACAGGTTTAAGCAAGTACCTATTGATTAACGGTGAAGGCAGTGAATACATGATAAAACTATGGTAGGCTAGAGTTGATTTCGACCTGTTCCATCTACAAGGTCATTTCAAGAAATAAGTTGATTTTTATAAAAAATAGACTAAAGATTTTCGATGCACAGGAATCTGAAACTATAATAGAGTTATAATCGAACCTATTGAAATGGTTGAACCAGTCGGTTTTCCTCGGTTGGAAAATACTTTATGTATATGCCATTTTAGTCGAATAAAAATCGATCATACTGTTTTATTTCGTTAATTGAAGTTTTTTTCATTTTTTAAAACGCATAGTGAACACTGTGTTACTTGAGCTAAACTGATATCATATATATTTTCGTAAAGATCAAATTTAGCTTTGAATCGTTGTTTGAAGAGAAAGGATAAATCTATATGAAAAAGCTGAGTGAAAAAATTCAAGATGTGGGGTTTAGCAATTAGTTCATAAGTAGATTACACTGTTTGGGTGACATATATATATATACATAGCAAATATTTCTCTTTGAGCATTACAACAAGTATAAAAGGCTATAATATGACATTTCTTCCTGAAGATTTATAAAAACTCGAGTGCAAAAACAAAAATGAATGTTTTTTTGAACCCATTTCTATTAATCGATCCATAAGATATTCAAAACCGATTGCACCGAGTCGGTTGCAGCTGTGATCTATAGGAGCTTTGTCAAAATTCTCGAGTTTGATTCTGTTGTTCAAGCAAGACTTACCACACCAGTGAAATACCATCACTGTTTCACTTGTAATAACAGCAAAAGGTTTTCATTTAAACTATGTCTGTAGTCTTTATTAAAAAAAACAGGGTTGCACAAAAACAAATTAGCGAAAATTCTAGGTTTGTTTTCCCATTGTGTCATGTTTTGATAGTGAGATAAAAAAGATTTTCTGTCATTTTAACAATGATTTCTCGTCATTCTAAAGATTTTTTAAGGGAGGTCGTGGGTACATTTTCTAGTAATAGTTCGCCAGTCATCTATAAAATAATTTTAATATTAATGTACAAGTGTCCCCTTTGCTTTTATCTATGCAAGTAATAAATCAATTGATTATAAATGTACCTTTGACTTTTGATGTACAGAAGTACTTATAATTTAATAAAGATGTTTTTTTGGAAGCTAAAATTGCTGTGTTTGACTATACATGCAAATGAAAAGAAAGAAAAGAATTAAAAATATGGCGCGTCCACCACTGAGACACCATCGAAATAAAATAAAATAGCATGACTCCGTTATGTTTTCGCTTTTATTCTTTGGGTATCATCCTCAATTCAATTTCTCGACGTGAACAATAAATCATCGTTTCTTTTTTGTTATCATTTATTCATAAAATGTCTAAATTAATTTATCTTTTTCGTAATGAAAATTCATCGAAAAATATTTATATATCATACACATTTGCACATGCTTTTGATGAATTTACTACAACATGGCCACCATCAACGAATTCAACAAATATTAATACACATGATAAATAAATAACGCTGAAAAAAAAATATGTATAGATAATTTTCTTATGTATTCAAAAATTTGTTTTTTGTAGTTAATGAATAATAAAAAATGTTTTCTGTTGTATATAGACACTTTGTTCTAAACATGTAAATTTTTTTCTTAAGATATAATGATTAATTTATTATTATCAAATAAAATTGATATTGTGATAAGTATTGGTTTAGTTATTATTAGTATTTATTTATTAAAAAAATTTTTAGTTCGTCAATTTATTGAGATAAAGAAAAATAACGTAACAAATATTAATCATGATAATGATGATGATGATGATTATTTATTTCAATTTAATATTGATAAACGCTCATTACGACCATCTTATGCAAGATTTATGCGTCGAAAATTGCAACAAGAATTAACTAATGATTCTTGTTTGTGTGTTATTTGTTGCAATGATAGAAAAAATATTGTTTTATTACCTTGTAGACATTTATGTGTATGTGTAACATGTAGTAAACAATTGTGGAATAATACTCAAAAACAAACATGTCCGATTTGTAGAAGTCAAGTTGATAATCGACTTGAAATATTTGTTTAAAAAATTATTTTTTTTCTTTATTAAATAAATTTTAAATAATTTTCTTAAAGATTTTAATTTTTATACTCTGACAAAAGAATGTATACATAAAAATAAAATGAAAAAGTGATATTCATGGTTTATACTATTTCATTGATACTTTATGTTTTCTATAAGAGAAATTATTAATAATTTTAAATCAATATAATTTGTAAAACTGATTATAGTTTAAGTCTATGTAGGAGTACAATTTAACAGAATTGTTATTAGCAAAGATGATCTAGTGATATAATTGAAGAAAGAGAAAGACCTCTACCTTTCAGTTACGTTGCGATATAGAGTATTGCCTAGTACCACCACATTAATTAGACCAATATATTCCCTAAGACTACTATCAGTTGTAGCTCTGGATAGAAGGCCAACATAACTCAGACTTCTTGCGTTCCTCTTACATAGCCACCAACTATGTGAGCAGATGTATGCCACAGCTTAGTCAGCGTATTATTGGACGAATGATCCGAAACAAATAGCCGTTAGTAGATTGTGCAGAGTTATTCCATGACTGGAGATACTAAGGTTTGCAAACCGAATCTTGTAGATACGTGTCAAACAATGTAGTCAATCAGTCATGGTGACTGATGGTGTAATGATAAAATAACTTAAAAATACAGAAGGTCTCAAAGGTCGAAATGACAAACACAACCGTGTAACAATTTTTCAATAAAATCAAAGATTTACATGATTTTTCAATCACCTGATCTTATATTCTTCGAAGTTTTATTCAGCATATTTCAGATAAAGTATCAATGGTTATTAATATTAAAATTAAAATAGTTTTACAGATGACCCAATTCGAGTTAATTCTGTTTGTGAAATAGAAACAATGAATAGAATTTCACAAAATAAGAAATATATATGATAATGTAGAAGAATGATTATATCATGAAAACTACACAACAATAATAGATGAAGAAAATAGTTCAGAAGTTTCATATAGTCTTTAAAAGTATATCAACATGATGTGCCTAAGTTATTGTATTCCTGCAGAGCTCGACGTTCATCAGACTAAGAGTAACTCAAAAGTTGGCAGAAAAAGAAATAAAGTGTTTTCGAAGGTAACTCAATGTAACGCCCATACTTTTCCAAATAGCGAAAAAGTTCGAGACTTTTGTATTTTAATTGCGTAGGATCATTTCGAATAATGACGACAAATAAAACTATAGGAAACACGACTTTAAAAAGCATCCAATGAAATTAAAATCAAACAACTAAATAGCAGTCAGTATTAGTCTATTTTCAGTGACCATTTGCGAAACGATCCGTATAAACGTTTTCCTCTTGCATTTGGACTTTTCAGATAGTTTTGTGATGAAGAAAATCGAGGCTTTTCGATCTATGCAAGATCGATCTGCTTTGATAATTTCACTGCTGTTTCATATGTATAATATGGTTAAAAACCTTCTATATCAATTCATTTAAGACAGACACTTTGTATAGGCCGAAAAGCCTTGATTATCTCTATCAAATGACCATTTTAAAAATCGAAATGTCATGAGAAGATTTTTATGAATTTCTTTTGAAAATGGTCACTGGAAATTGACCAAGACTGATTGCTACTGGATTGTTTGATGTTTAAATGATTTGATAAGGTTATATGTTCTCTTTCCAACACTGAAAACTGTAAAGGGCCATCTATGGCTATGCCTGAAGTATTTGCAATACAATTAAGTTCTTTGAATTTTTTTATACATACTAGTTACTTTATTTACTTCTTTTTTATGCTTTTCATTAAAGTTAAAAATAAAATAGAATAATTCTAAAGAAAATAGCTCTTTTTGATGTTGAACAAAATCTATACTTGTATCAGAAGAATCTTGAAAGCATGAAAGAAAGAAAAAGAGAATCAAACAAGAATTCAGTTACGTAATAATCTTACTAGTAAGACACTTCTGGCATCATCAGCCAAGATTTGTTCTATATTGGCCTTGTCAAGAAATAAACATCTACTTTTCTCCGACAAGAATCTAACACTAAAGTTAATGTAAATAGAATCTTGACTTATGACCATGAAGACCAACAATCTAAGAAAAATCGGTCCAATATAGAAGTGTCATGCCACTAGTATTGTTACCAGTCAGTATTAAATGGTACCAGCTAATATTAACCTTGTGTGTAGTAAGTGATGATGATGATTATCATGCAACGATAAATAGTCTATGGATATACTAACCATTGATCACTCATAAATAGAAAGTTTTCCCTTGATAAAGATACTTAGTGTTACCATGAAAAATAGAATTTAAAAAAAAAGTATGACACTCCTAGTATAAGAAGCCATATTAGTACAATTGTTGACAATAGATTGAAAATCTACAAAAAACGAATTCTGATGTCTACAAATGTTTCACTCTCACATATTGATTATATTTTTAAAAATTACTTCGAAGAAAAATTCTTCATGTTTAGAATGAAACATAATAAGTTTGATCGTGAAACATAGAATAAATTAGGATGAGTAAGAAGAAAAACTGAAAAAAAAGCAAGAATAATAAAAGTGTCAAGTATTTTTATGTAAATACCATTGGATTGATTGTGCTCCTACAAGTTTTTTACTTTCTCTAGCCAATCCACAACCATCCAAATAACAACCAGATAATGTTTTATTTTTTTCAGCAATTTCAAGAAACGCCTCCACCGAAGAATCTGTGATCCCTTCATTTGATCGAAGATCCAGAAATCGAATAGATGTTGGATTCGAGACAAGTACATCCTTAATTTTGACGACTCCACGATTTGTTATATTGGTATTTTGCAAAGATAAATGAGAGATAGATTTATTATTTCGAATTAAGTCGACAATATAGTCGATTGCATCATCTCCAATTGTATTTGATGATAGATCAAGATGCGCGACATTTTCCTTTGTTTTAAGAAAATTGACCAACTTCTCAACACCATCTGATGTTATTCTGTTTCTTGATAATGATAATTCATATTTTGTCTCTCGCATGGCTTCTTCTATTCTATCGGGAATATCACGGTCTGTTAAATTGTTACCAGATAAATTGATCTTCACTGTGGATTTATTTGTTGATTCTCTTAATCTAGGAATTGAATAAATATCATCTTTTGTTTTTGGACGAGTACAACGGTTACCCATTTCTATGTGTTCACGTCAACTTTTCTTTTATATTTTTATCGAAATGATTCAGAAGTTATTTATTTATTTATTTTGAATTTGTCTACTCATATTTCAAGGTTAGAAGAGAAAGAAAAATCGATTCTTCTACCACCAATATTCTTACTACCTTTCGAACATATTTTTTTCTACTGTATAAAATGAATTCATAGGAATGGAAGAAAAAAACAAATCTGTTTTTTTGGATTATGAAATTTCATTTTACTTATATTTTGTCAAACTATGTAAATAATTCAACTAAAATCATAGGAGACTTTAAAAGAAATATTTTCTTGTTAAAATCGTATGAAAAAGCACATTTGCAAGAACAAATTTTCAAATTAAAATGGAAATTAAAAAACAAAATAATGCAATTATCGAGTTAGTTTAGGTTTTGGAATATATTTATTTAAGAAAAATAAGACATCAAATGTTCATTTTGTTTTCTTGTACCTAAATAAATTTTCTTCAACTATAAAATGATTATAAATGATATTGTTCATCAATATAAGATTGAATGATCTTTCTTGCAAGAAACATATGATTATGATTCGAGCATAGTTATCAAATGAAAAACGCCGTCAACAAAATACTTTCGAGCTTAAATAAAAACTATTTAATAAAATGAATTGTAACAGAATGTTAATGTTTGATATTTAAGTCAAACAAATGATTTAGATGTATAAACATTTTCTTATTTAATGTGTTATATTGTCGAATATTCGTCTCTTTCAAATAGTTTCAAGTAAAAATAGATTATTATTCAGTGGCTATTAACACAATGTTAAACAATAGTTAAAAATAAATATGACATTAAAACATCAATTATCAGAATTCTCTTAATTGCTTTTTGCGGAAAGACAATGTTTATAAGAATATGTCAATCAATCTATTTCTATTAATAATACATAAATGCTCGTAATCATATTGTAGGCAGTTTTGGGTTTTCTATGCAAACTTTAAAAGAAAGCTCTGTAGCTTTGTGTCAACAGATTTATCAATCTTAGTTGATCTTATTCTGATATGTTATTTTCATATGTCGAGTAATAAACATTGAAATTCTTTTGATCGACTAGTTTCTATACATATGGATAGAACAAGGAAACTCATTGATCTCTATAAGTAGATATGTGTTGTTATATCCCTCCACTTAAGTGTACTTATTTTACGTCTAAAAGAAAATCATAAAACGCACATATCAATCAATAATCAAAAAGCAACAATTCTGCATACTTAGAAGGAAGATAGTGGGTAGAAAAAAGCTATTTTGCAGATGAGTAAAATCTTGTCATTATCCACCCACTTGACAAGGAAAAGACGATACTATCCATGTATAAATATGCTTAGCACAAACCACAGTTATCTATCATAACAATAATATATAAAAATGGCGACACAACCCGTACCAATTCAACGTACAAATACAAATTCAAATAGTTCAAATAACAAAAATGATATATGGTTTAATGCATTTGATTTTGCACCTGGTCAAGATGAAAATATTCGTTGGCTTAGTCGTCCAAATCAACAATTAGTATACGAAAAACATTCTCATGATACAGAGAAATTTCGTATTACATTTGACGTTGAAAATTTTCAACCTGATCAAATTAAAGTAAGAAAAAAAAATTGTGAATTACATTTCTAGTTTATTTTATTTCCTTTAGATTTATATTCAAAATCATAAATTAACCATATCAGGTGTTTACGAAGAACGTACTGAAAATCGTCTTGTACAAAAAAAATTCGAAAGAAACTTTGATCTCCCAGCTAATGCTGATGTTGATTCAATCGCATCATTTATAACTGCAGCTCATATGCTTGTCGTTGAAATTCCACTTCATGCATCAACACAAGTTGATCATTTAAATATTAACAATAATCGAAATGATCAACGTCGTCTATCATTTTCATTAAATAAATTTAATACATCAAATAATCAAGGTTTCTTATCACCATCAAATGATACCTCGGATTCTTCAACAGCAGGTCAACAAGTTCGAAGAACATCTGTTACAAAAACTACAAGAACAACCACAACAACGACAACTGGCTCAACTGATCTTCCACGAGAAGCAGCTGAATTATTGAAAAGTGTGGATACAGCAACTGGTAGCAGTATTCATACTTATACTACACATACATCGGAACGTCACTCATCGAATACAGACAATCAAAAAATTGATGTGACTGAATCTAATAGATCATTATCAACAGCAATTAATAAACAAACAATATCAACAAGTTCGGGTAAGGTGTTTTTTAGCATAATTTTATTCAAGTATGTATTTTGTTTGGTAGATTTGGCAAATTTACCAATAGAAATTCCACCAGAACTTTTGGCTAGTGGTGGTACAATAACAATCGAGAAAAGAAAAGTGTCAATAATAAAAGGAGTCGATGGAAATACTGATCAAGTTGTTTCTGTACCAATTACACATAGCAATAATACACAATCAACGTCAACTAAAACTACTGATCAAGTTGTTTCTGTACCAATTACACATAGCAATAATACACAATCAACGTCAACTAAAACTACAAATACAACAAGCAATACATCGCAAAATACATTAAATCAACAACAGTCAAGTACTAGTGAACTTAGTAGTTCAAAAGTAATTATTAAAAAGTAACAAACATCATTCTGCGATTTTCGTTTATGTTTTCTTTAGACAACGTCAAGTACTAATCAAAGTAGAAAGTTTACACTTGAAGAATTTCTTCAAAATAAAACCTGGAATCCATCACTTGTTGATGGTCTTGATGGCAAGAAAATTCTTTATATGCGTTTACAAATGAAGCCAGGTACAACATTAGATCAAATGAAAATTTCACTTAATGGATATGATCTACGTATCGAAGTAAATAATAAAGTATCAACTGATGGTCATCACTATATGAGTGAGTATTTTTAAATATATATATATATTCAGTACATTTGCAATTTATTTTTTTTCTAGATGAACATAGTTATCGTCAAGTTACTCTTTTTCCGACTTGTGAAGTCGATCATTTGAAAACAGAATTAAAAGATGATGGTTTTCTTCATATTCAAGTCCCCATCAAATTATAAAGCGGACTCACTAAATTTATTAAAACCTTTTTCATATTTTTTTTTTAATTTCTTCCTGCTTTTTACCCTAAAGGACCCCGCCCATTAAGGGGTCAAACCTGCCACCCCATTAAGGTGCTATTTTTATACCATAGTTTTGTAGCTTGGACCCAATAACATATTTAGAAATATTGCTTTTCTCTAATAGACTTTTATTTATAAAGAGAGGCGAATATCTCTATGCCCATATGACTAGGAACAATTGAGAACGCTGAACGGCAGTTATCTCTATTATGGAAAAAGATTTTAAAATTCTGATTTCATATTTAGAAACAGTGTTATAGACCTTCTAGTTCTGTGTGATCACTGATTTTTCAAACTTAATAGAGATCAAATAAAAACTGGATGTACGATCACCAAGAGTAGATAGTTTAGATATGTATGAAAACTTGTGATGACATTATCTCGGGAATAAAAAATAATTCATCAGCGAAAACTTTCACACATACTTGCTTATATAGTGAGCTTTCTGCTAATAATACCATGAGTTCTGAATATTTTATTCAAAGAATCGTTTGGTGCCTAAATATTCTCAATGAGTACCGTATCATATGCACACATATATATTGAAAAATCCATTCAAAATGTTTTTATCTTTTTTTGAACCAGAAATGACAACAATTTTTTTTTATCGAGAAACAAAAATTCATCGGAAATAAGACTTCTGACCACTCAGTTAAAAAGAACTAATATCTTCATTGATCGATTTTGGATAAAACCAATCGTTATGTGATATGCAACTGAAAGCTTTGAGTTTGCCGTTATGGTAACTCGTCTTTTCGCGATAACCAATATCAAATCTTTTGAAAAGCCTTCTGATGAGACCCTTTGGGTAGATCGAAATCATCTGTTCTAACTACACCTAAGATGAGGATTATCATGTACGGCAGATGGTCGGGGAGAGACCCACAAGAGATCGATTACGCAATATTTTAAGTTTATTGAAACGACTTTTATCATTTTATATTCGATTTACTCTAATTAAACGTTCTCGAACACTTGTCTCTCCTCCTGATTAATTACTCAGCATTACTCAGCAAAATTCTTTAACACATAAACAAAATAAAATCGAGCAGTTCTATTTAGAACTATTTTCTTTGTCTTAGTAGATTTGTCAAATCATTTTCTGTTTGCTTTTATATTGTGTTGTTTGTGTTTTTTGTTTTCTTTTTTTATTTTGTTGGTTGTCTTTTTTGTTGTTTGCTAATTTTACCAACTGATTTTTTTGTTTCTTTGTGTTTTTGCTTTGTTGAAATTGAATATCTGGTTTATTTTTGTGTACATTTTGCTTTTTCTTCTAGTGAAACAGGTTTTTTAATCAAAAGTTATTTGAAAATATACAACTAATTACTGAAAATGCCCAATAAGCAATGTATCCGTTGTAAAAAATTGAAAGCTAGGATAAAGATTACCGCCAAAACTCATGCACGGTGCTATTCGTTGCTAAAGTCAGAAGCAATTTCATTCAGTGTTGACGAAAATTGTTATCTATGTCGTACACGTTGGTTACATTCAATTAATCAGAAAAAATGGAGAAATTGAAGTGAAAAAAGAAAGTACAAACAATATTGAAAATATGGATATTGGTATTGATGAAAAAGAAGATTCATCAACGATTGAAAATATTATTTTTGCAGGTTTAGATCATAAAAAATGTATTATTTGTCGATCTGAAGTACATGCTGGTTCAATGGTAATGCCAAAATCAGCAAGGTTGGGTCTCTTAGTGCTGAAACGAATGTATACTCCTCATGGCGTTCGAAGCTGCATAGACCACTTATGGAACTGTCGACTATTACCTGATGTAGAACTAAACATGGAAAATCGACAAACATCAATAGCCAAATTGCAACCATCGGTTCTTTTGCAGTCAATTAATGACCCTTTAGGTTTATTACAAGAAGCATCTTCAGCAGCCCGATTAGACTTCATGGATCCTGAATTGACAGATGAAGATTATTTGGAGTGGACTGGATGGAATAAACAACAATTCGAAGATATGTTTACTTTAGTCTCGCCACATATTCGTACATCTTTTAATCGTGATGCTAAAAATACTGTAGCAATGTTTTGGATAAAACTAAAGACTAATTTGTCTTTCAGGCGAATAGGTTCTCTATTCAACATTCCTGGTGATGGTGAACATCGTCGTAAAGTGGCAGCCAGAAGTTTTGACTCAGTTCGCCAAGTTTTGGTAGATAAATTGGTGTCACAATATTTAGGAATCGGTCATTTGTCACGTTCGGAAGCCATCAATCACAATACTTCCTTTTCCAACGAGTTTTTTGAAAAAAACGTAACAATTATATGGGATGGTACTTACTTCTACACAGGAAAAAGTAGCTCACACGAATTTCAAAGATCTACATATTCTGGACTGAAAAAACGTCACCTAATGAAGTTCATGTCCTTATGTCTGCCAGATGGCTATTGCTTAGACACTTTAGGACCATTTTTTGGAACTGAAAATGATGCTACAATTGCCGATCATATAGCAAAAACTAAAAATACATTGGCAGAATGGTGCGACTACGGTGATGTGATGATAGTTTATAGAGGTTTCAGAGATATTGCAACAGTATTTTCTGATCTAGGTTACGAATTCCAAATGCCTGTTTATTTACCCAAGGGTCAGAAACAACATACGACAAAGGAAGCTAATGAAGCTCGACTAATAACGAAAGTCCGATGGACTGTGGAATCTTATCATGCTAGATTAAAAAAATGGCGTTTCTTTTCTGACAGAATCGAAAACCAATTTCTACCAAAGTTCAAGATTGTGTAAGGATAGTTTCTGTCGCACTGAACTGCTATCGAGGAGCGATCATAAAAGATCATAATACACCACATATGGATAAATTGACACGATTGATGAAAGATCGATTAACTAAAAATAATTCACTTGCAGAACTAGTGGAGGCTGGAAAGTTAAAGACTAAACAAAAATGAAAAACAATTGATGAAGTGGATTTTAATTTTCCAGAAATGGGAATAGAGGATTTACGTCAACTCTTTTTTGGATCATATCAAATCAAACAATGCCAGACGTATACCGAAGAACATCTGGATATAAATGGCGACTTTTCTATACACGTTTCGAAAGAAACAAATGATATTATACGTTGTGCTATTCAGAGCCGACACAGCAACTCCATAAGATATTACGTATGGATTCAATTTTCTCTCACAGGAGATCCTATTACATCTTGGTATTGTCAATGTAAATCTGGTGCCAGAACTGTTGGTGCCTGCACACATGAAGCAACAATCATATGGTATCTTTCTTATGCACGACACCATGATTTTGAAGGTTCAAGTGATCGAAGAAGAATACAACGGTCAATTGAAAAACTAATGCAATCCAATTCAGAAGAAGATGAAGAAGAAGACGATAGTATTATGCAATGAATAAAGAAAATCCAACGGCCCTTTTAAGGGCCAATGGGACGAAAGACTAACCGTCCGGAGTCCTGTATGTTCGACATATAGCGACTACACGGCGCCCTGGGAGGAGAAAGACTGTGGCTTGCTTATAGATCACGGATGAGTATCCGGCCAATTAGTCAGTATCGATTAATTAACTTCATCAAGATTACACTATTAGCAATGCAGGTTTTTGTTTAACTAGTATTACTGTTAATATCTTCATCTCCTTCTTGAAAACAAGGATATGATCAACGAATAGATGTGTTTGTACCGAGAATTCTTTATTATCTTTAGTTCCAAAGTACTTGCATACGCAAAAAATTCACGAGCTATGCTTATTTAGTTATGACTTAAACGGTACTGTAATTAGCAGTAATAAAAACATAATTGTTTTTACTTTAAAGAAAGATAAAAACATTTTGAATGGATTTTTCAATATATATGTGTGCATATGATACGGTACTCATTGAGAATATTTAGGCACCAAACGATTCTTTGAATAAAATATTCAGAACTCATGGTATTATTAGCAGAAAGCTCACTATATAAGCAAGTATGTGTGAAAGTTTTCGCTGATGAATTATTTTTTATTCCCGAGATAATGTCATCACAAGTTTTCATACATATCTAAACTATCTACTCTTGGTGATCGTACATCCAGTTTTTATTTGATCTCTATTAAGTTTGAAAAATCAGTGATCACACAGAACTAGAAGGTCTATAACACTGTTTCTAAATATGAAATCAGAATTTTAAAATCTTTTTCCATAATAGAGATAACTGCCGTTCAGCGTTCTCAATTGTTCCTAGTCATATGGGCATAGAGATATTCGCCTCTCTTTATAAATAAAAGTCTATTAGAGAAAAGCAATATTTCTAAATATGTTATTGGGTCCAAGCTACAAAACTATGGTATAAAAATAGCACCTTAATGGGGTGGCAGGTTTGACCCCTTAATGGGCGGGGTTCTTTTAATCGTAAATATCAATATTATTATTTTATGGACAATATGTTTTAATAAACTAGTCAATACTTTAACATTTGAGTTTTGAAATACATTGAGAATGAAATTTAGTCTATATTGATAAAAATATACCCATTATTCAGAAATTGGAAACCTGATGAGTTCAAGGAAATCATGTTGGATTCAATGTTTGAAGCAGCCATATCAGAATTGTATGTGCCAATCTTTGTAACTTCACTATTAGAGTTACATATGACAGTATTTCAAGCCCTCTCATTATAGAATGCCTTAGATTTCACCTAAATTGTTGTGAAATTTCTAAGTTTTGGATGGTGAAGTACTACTGTGACCATCAGAGTGTAAAACTAATAGTGAATTCAAGAATATTCTTAATAATAAAAAAACAAACAAGAAATAGTACAGTTCCTACTCAAATGCCATCTGTATTCTTTCCAGATTTCTATTGGTAGACCACGCACGTATTAAAAGAAAGATTCTACTAATACTACTTGTGTGCATCTCAACTTCCTGAATTAATACATAGATGTACAAATGTTTCATTTAATATAACAATCTAGTTTATTTATAATTGCTATTAATTATTTTTTTTTCGAAGATTTTTCTTCTCATCCATGAATTTATTTCTTCGTCGTTTAATCGTTACTACCCCAAAATGCTCGTCGTTTTTCTTACGGCGTCATGTAGCTCATTTTACATTTTTCAAAGATCAACCTGATCCATCTTATGGTTGGTTTATTTCTTTAATATTTTTGTTTAACAATCGAAAATTTGTTTTCAAGGTCCTACTAAAGAAATGAATCTATGTCAAACAATCCAAAATACACTTGATATTACACTTGGCAATGATCATACCGCTAGTAACAATTGATTTTTTTTCTGTTTTTATCTGTTTATTTGAAATTTATTTTGTAGTTATATTTGGTGAAGATGTTGCTTTCGGTGGTGTTTTTCGATGTACAACAGAATTAAGATCGAAATATGGTTTACAAAAAATATTTCTTTTCGTTCTTATTTTTCAATTATTATCATAAGTTTAGGTGCTGATCGTGTGTTCAATACACCACTATGTGAACAAGGTATTATCGGGTTTGGAATAGGTGCCGCTGTCGCTGGAACAACAGCTATTGCTGAAATACAATTTGCTGATTATATTTTCCCCGCTTATGATCAAGTAAAATCATGTTTTGTTTTCACATTGCCTTTTTTTATTTTTATTTTTTGTATTGTTTTAGATTGTAAATGAAGCATCAAAGTATCGATATCGCTCACAGAATTTATTTAATTGTGGCAAATTAACTATTCGTTCACCATGGGGCGCTGTAGGACATGGTGCACTATATCATTCACAATCGCCTGAAGCACAATTTATGCATACACCTGGTCTTAAAGTAAAAAATATTAATCTAATTAATAATTTAATTTGATAGTTCATTTTTAGGTTGTCATTCCACGTGGTGCTATTGAAGCTAAAGGTTTACTTTTATCATGTATTAAAGATGATAATCCATGTATATTCTTTGAACCAAAAATACTTTATCGATCAGCTAAAGAAGATGTTCCTATAAAAGAATATACAATTCCATTATCAAAAGCTCAAATAATACATGAAGGATCTGACGTAACACTTGTTTCATGGGGTACACAAGTTCACGTACTTCGAGAAGTTGCACAAATGGCGGCAAAAGAAAATATATCATGTGAATTAATTGATTTACGAACTATTTTACCATGGGATGTGGATACAATTTGTCAATCAGTTAGTAAAACTGGAAGATTATTAATAAGTCATGAAGCACCCATAACTGGTGGAGTTGGAGCAGAAATAGCGGCAACAGTTTCTGTATGTAGAGAAAATTCGATTAATAAATCTTTGATTTGTTTTATATGTTCTCTTTTTGTCTTATATTTGTTTTTTAGAAAGAATGTTTCTTAAATCTCGAAGCACCAATAGAACGTGTTTGTGGTTATGATATTCATCCAATTCCACATGTGTTTGAACCTTTCTATTTTCCATCTAAATGGCGTTGTTTAGAAGCGATTAAACGGATGATGAATTTTTGATATCATAAAATAAAAATTTTACTTTCCAGTTTAAAATCTTCTTTCCTTTTAGATTATGTCTATTAAATTATTTTTATTATTTATTTCATTTGTAAATAGTGATATTCCACTTGATATTCCTCGTTTTTCAATTGATCTTCATCCAATCGATCGATGGTCAACTATAATATCGAATTTTGTTCAACCTATGCGTGAATTTAATGATGAAACTCGTGCACAAAATTCCTGAAGTTTCTATTGATGTTGCTGAAATAATTGCTACTCGATTAGATAATCATATTCCTCGACCATATCATGATGAATTCTATTCAATAGCTCGAGCAATACCAATGCCATTAGCTGATATTGTTTCTATTAATCTTGTTTATGAACTTCGTACCTATTGTACAAGTTTACTTGTTCGTACAATAAATAATACTATTATACACGGTCGAAATCTTGATTTTGATTTTAATACAGATTTACTTCGTCGTTTAACATTTCATGAAAGATTTTTTTCGAACATCTAATTTAATAGTTGAATATGAATCTATTTATTTAGCTGGTTCAATTGGTTTATTAACTAGTTTACATCAAGGTTATTTTAGTTTACGTATTAATCAACGACAAATAAATGATAAACATTGGTGGATGAATGTATTAATATCTATTTTACATTTACATTCAATGCCTTTATTTATTTTTACACGTTTTATTTTTGATAATCCATATATGTCTTATAACGATATGAAATATGCACTTGAAAATCAACATTTGATTGCATCCGTTTATTTTATTTTAACTGATGGTCAATCATCAGGTGTGATTATATTTATCCTATTGAATTAAATTCTATACTTGTACAAACAAATTATGATCATTGGTTAGATCATCCATTAGATGGTCTAAGACGAACAACAGCAAAAAATATTCTTCAAACATTGAATTTAACACAAATGACAACAAATAATATTTTTAATATTGTTTTATCTGTTATACCAGTACTTAATAAAATTACAATTTATACAGCTATTATGAATCCTGGTGAAAAACAAGAGATCTTTGCAAAAATTCGTACATTAAAATAGAGTTTGTTGGTTTCAAAATATCTATTTTCTTTTAATACGGATTCGATTTATTAAATGTGTTTTGTGGACAAATCTGAGTTGTAATTATAATTTCAACGAAATTTCCAGTTTAAGTCTGATAACCACTCCAAAAATCTTAGATACGTTGTTGTCAATTATTTGTATTCTACTACTAACATGTCCTATGTATTTCTCAGACAATATTGACATTGGTCTTATAATAATCAAGTCATAATTATCTGTTACTTTTCGAGATATGACTCCTCGAGTTGATTATGATTCTGAATTCAGTCAGTTCCAGAACCAATTCGACATGCTCTATATTAAAGCCTCATTAATGTTAGTTCTTTTCTTAAGTGTAATCTTTTTTACTATATTTTTCTTTTATTTATTTAATAAACAAAAACACATGAGATGATTAGCTCATTATTTGTTTATCCATTGTTTTTCTTTTTTGTTTACTTAGATGATTATATTTTTTATTTTTTTAATCAAAACCACATACAATTTAACAACTGTAAATTGATTAGGTGAGTTAGTTATGCAATGAAATAATGGCTTTGAAGCTGAGACCATTCTATATTATGAAGGCATTTTTATGATTCTCTAAACCATATCTTATTTCTTTTCATCATCATTAACGCTACAGTATTCTTTTTTTTTTTTTGGATACATCAAAAATAAAGAATAGCAATACCGCTATTGAAATTGATCTCCAGATAGTTTCTCGCTTCTTCTAAGTAATATGAATAGTGATAGAATCCAGTCCAAACGAGAATATATATTACTCACTGAACATGCAACCTATATTCTCTCTCTTCCGTTTTGCTTATGCCTTTCTTTTCTTTTTTTCCTGAGGTAAAAACTCGATTGAGACTTTTCTTCAGATTTACTTCATTCATTATTTCGATGTATTTTTTTTTCTTTTGATAGAAAACACAAAATGCATAGCATGTACGTGCACACACACGCATATACTTAAATATGTTTTTACTTGTGAAAAAAAAAGAATGTCAATGTGTCAGAATGGCATCATTATCAATATTATTGTATAGAGAAAGGAAAAAAAAATCTACGAGAAAGTAAGACTTGCAAGTCTAAAACGCTATATACTCATTATTTTTTTATTCTTCTCTTCGCCTTTTTTTTTATTTCCTACTGGTACTGATGCTACTCTTTTACTTCTTCTTTTTTTCTTTTTCATCATTATTATCATTGGTCAATGAATAATACACGTGTAGCATGTTGTCTTCTTTTACTTTTTGTAATCAGACAACTATATACCTTTTTTTTTCCTTCTATATTTATATTCCTTCCATGCCATATTGAGTATGTGTCAAAAGTTAATTTATTGAATTTCTCGTTTTCAGTACGAGTATATAATGTAAACGATCAGAATCAATTTTTTTTCTTAGATCATAATCTAATGTATTACTAAGATGAAGTATTCGTTCATTTTTCTTACTTTATAGTATTCTCATCGTACATCAATGAAGCATTGATATAATGGAATGTCGACATTCTCAGAATACAATTAAAATTGATAATGTTAATGAAGAAATTATTGCTGAAAATGATGGATTATCTGTGATGTCAGTCAATAATGATGATACAGCAATATCTTTAAAATCTCAGGTAATTTGATTTTGTTATTACAAAAATAGAAGATTATGTTGTTAACAGTTTTCTCTATGCAGCTTTTTTTTTATTATCTCATTCATCTTGTTTTGTGTTTTTTTTGTTGCTATTCGAAGTGTTCACCAATTAAAGACAATTTGATAAATATATACCCTTGAGCACATACATGTCTATGCATCTGTCTATCCATCTTTCCTGCTGTTCTATCCTATTGTTAGTCTGATAAATAGAAATATCTTACTTCCTTTTTCCAAGACATTATTGGTATTCTATGTTAATCACAAGTGATTCGTTTTCTTCGTTTTTTACCGCTTGATGAGAACCAGGAACTCTTTTGTTTTTAGCATATAGATTGATAAAGATGAATCCATTGTTTGATTCTCTGATGATTTTTTTTTTCTTCCTATGTATTGACAGATGGATTGAAGCAGAAAGAAAACTAAGAAAGAGAAGGAAAAGAAACAGATAGACCATCGGATTAGTATTAATATGTTCTAAGATTGAATGATTCAAAATGTATAAGATATGCTGTCTTTATCAATAAGTCACATAACGAGAAAAAAAATCTCGTCATAAACATCATCGTCAACACGTGAGTGTTTTTGTCGTTGTATTCTTTAATCTCTGGAGAAAATAAGCTTGCATGATTATTCCATCTTGAGCATCTATCTCTGTATAATTTAAAATACGAATCATCTATATGAATATGGGTCAATGATGTCTGCCTTCTAGCAAAAAGAGAACATAAGTGTAAAGTCAATTCATCCTTCTAATTGCATGTGTTGATCGTGATGTCAATAATATATCATTGTTTGACTCAAGAGTATTCTCTTCTGCTTCTTAACATTTCATCAACCATCGATCTATCATTATATATAAACTCTAAGACTTCTCTGTTTGTCTAATGGTTTCATAGCTTTTATTTTGTTTCAAAAGTTGATAAAAACACACACAAACAGGTTTATAACATCAAGTAAGCATAACATTCATTCTATTAGTAATTCAAGGTTAAAACATAGAGTATTCTTACGAATAATATAAAAAGAAAAAAGATTTTTCCTTGAATCAACACCTATTCTTTTTGTTTCATTAAATAGATCAATGATAATAATTCTAAACAATCGTCATCATCTGTAACTGATCGAACATTAGACAATAATGAATCTTTGTCGACAACAATAACAATACAACAAAATGATAGGTCATCATCTATGAATCAACATATTCTTCGTAAAAAAAAAAAACATCTTTTTTTCATTCTAACAATTATTATCACATTATATTTATCTAGATGAAAACCAACAAATATCTGATCGATCATCTTCTATGAATAATCTTAATTTATCTAAACCTAATTCAATGTCATCATTAAAATCGTTTGAAACAAAACGTATTGATGCAGCATTAGAAAAAAATCTTGAAACCATTGTTACACAAGTTCGTCGAACAACAACAAAACCTTCACAATTAACACAAAATGATCTTCAATTATTTGATAGTACATCATCAACTAACGCTAAAACTAATCATCATTCACGTGATATAACATCAGATTCTATCAATATTGATTCAATTAATCAAGAATCAATACAAAATGGACAATACTATCATCATTCTATCATTCCACCATCAACGATCGATCCTTATGGACAACCAGTATGGCCTTCTGGAATTTATCCATTTCCACATCAGCATCCTGGACTTTATTTACCTTATCCACCAACAAACAATGGTTTACCACCACCATTCTATCCATCATATGATCCATTATTAATCGAACAACATTATGGTCCACATGTTTTATCAGCTTATTATACACAACAACAGGCAGTAGCAGCTCGACTTTTACAAGAACAGGCATCTTTGTCAGGTTTGATATTAGATAGATATTGAATTTAAAACAAAATAATAGAAAAAAAAACTAATATCGATAAGGAATTTATTGTCATTTAGATAATATTTCATCCATATTAACCACTCCAACAAAAGAACATTCTGAAAATTCGCCATCAATTAGTGATGATTCCATGAAATTATCTGATTTAGTCACAAATGGAAGTCGAAAAAAAAATATCACAATTAATAAACCATTCCAATCCTATCATCATAGTCTTCAAACAATGAACGAAGGTTTATCTAGATTATCACCAGATTTATTGTCTGATGGTGATGATGGAGGAATTAATGATGCAGATAGTATTATTTCACTTGATAGTATTAAATCTAATATAGCTGCAAGTAAGTTAAAGAATATGACGTACAATCTTCAGTCTAAGTTAAACATGACAATCTATTCTTACTTACAAATTCTCAAGAGAAGGTTAAGAAACAGAATTCTCACAAGTACTTGTATATTCTAGAAATTTTTTGACTAAATCATAAATTATGATCACAGAAACTCTACAAAAATATTTTTCTTTAGAAAGCTTTTTCAAAGAAATTGAAAGAAAACCATGTTTTCAGAAATATTCCACGTCACATGTTTGTTCGCACTGTCTACAGTAATACTTGCAAGTTTCAATTTCAACTATAAATGGCTGCAGAGAGTGTTTTTTATTCAAATTCGGATTATATATATTAGAAAGAATTCAAATTAATCGAGAAGAAAATATTTTCAGAATATATTTTACTAATAAAAATTTATTTCATAACTGGAACTACTTCAGGCTTTGTATCTAGTACAGGCAACTCAGATGCATCAATATCAATCTAAAAAAAACACTAGTGTCGAGCGTACCCGTATCGCCTTTTCTTTTAGCAACTGTGACGCAGTTATAGGCAATTACAGAAGAACGTAGTTATGTGTTATTAAGATAAAGAAATCACATAACTAGGATTTTTCTATGGTAACTGCGTCGCAATTTATCGGGCTTATGGGTCACAGTGCGATGACAGTTACGGCGCAGCTGCATCACGATTCGATCGTTATCGAAAACATAGACATTATATCGATTGATAGACCGATGGTAGTTTCTTAGTAGCTATCAAATGGAATATCCTATTATCTAAATTGTTAGGCAAACAATCAATCTTCGTAAAAATCTAAAGAAAAAAAAAATGATTCGACACATTGATTTCAATTAAATATATATTTTGTTCAGGTATGCCTGTACTTGAAGATGGTTTATCTGATTCGGAAAATATAAGTAATGATGAACAGTCATCACCTATCATAACAAAATCCAAGAGCCGTCATCAATCAACTCAAAGTGATTTATTATTTGATTCTAATCATTCATCATCCATTCCTGCACATAAAAATTACTCTACTAAAACAATCAATAATGAACATATATCTCAAACAAAATCATCCTATAATTCTCCGTCATTGTCTTCGTCTAATACTCGAGTAGATCAACATA